CCCAAGGCTGGTAGGTCAGAGCTTTACCCAGCGAGGAAACTTGAGAGTTGAAGGTTGGCCCAGCTTCCTGAACCAGGAGCATGACCTCGCCCTAGCTGCTAGGTCATGTGTTAATCCTAGCCTATGTCAGTCTGGACTCCTCATTCCAAGGAAACTGAGAGCTCTCACTGGGGACCCTGCCATGCCATGTTCAGCCACCTTCCCCACAATACCTTGCAAAACTATTTCTAAGAGCCTGAGCGAGGGGTGGTCCAGCTGCTGCTGTCTCCCATTAGCACCACAGGGCATGGAGGAGTGGCAGATGGCCTTTTCTTCCTGCCCTTGGTATAGACTCTTAGATACCCAGCAACATAGGAATCCCATGGGATTCACAAAAGATCCCCAACTCACTTGTCACCCCATCACATACGAAAGATGCTGTACCATGGGTCTTCAGATGGTACCAGTTCCTTTTGTGGAGCCACATGGGCATTAGGAAGCCAAGTGAGGTCTGCTGTGCCCTTGTACCTTAAGCTGATTGGGCAGGGTCTCTGTAGAGGGGCAGGGTGTGGATGCGTAGGGAAAGCCATCTAGCTGCGCTAGAATACATAGGGTCCCATGCTCTGCCTGTCCCTGTGAGTAGTCAGCCTACCACAGCCCCACTTGCACCAGAACCACTAGGATACACTCGCGTGGCCTACTCACTGTGCTTCCTACCCATCTCCTAACAAGCTTGCAGTTTCCTTGAAAATAAATCGACCATCCCTTCTACTTCTAGGTGGCAAGGGAAGAAATCTAAAGTCCTCCACTGAAGAGAAGAAGATCTTTCTCCTACCTCAACAGTACCCTTTCAGCCCCATTTCCCACCTTCCAATGCCACAGTGGTGCACTCGTAGTCCCACTTGGACAGTTTCCTTTTCTGAGGATGGGCCACGGCCTGCTGCACATGTTCTGTGGCCTGTAGTGAACTGCATTCTTGTACACCCAGCAAGAGCCAACATCTACTGAAAACCTCCAAGTGACTCCGAATGCATCGCCCACACCATCCCACTTCATTCTCACAGAACTGTAGACTGTGTTATCCGGAACACGTCAGTAGACAGCCCCTTCCCGATGAGAAGACCGGGCCTGGTTGATTCACATCCATCAGCTCTCACTTGGCTGTGGGTTCTGCACGGGTCCAAATGCAGGCACCAGGGCAGGGCTGAGACCACGGCAGCCCTTGGGCTACCACTGTACCTTGCCTGAGGCACCACAGGCAACAGGGCACGCCAGAGTGTGCCACCTCAGAGCCCGCACACACCAGGAGCTCTATCTTGGGACTGCCACGTGCGCCTGCTGCCAAGCTGTGCAACATGGCCCTGTGACTCAAGCAGCAGGCACAGGCTCAGACTCTGCTGACAAGCGATGACACCGCACCTCATTTGCTGGGCAACGTTTGTGTAATGACGCACATTTGGTGCCGGCAAGGAGAGTGGGCTGCACCAAGGGCTTGATGGATCGGGGTGCTCCAGCGGGCTGCAGCCACATTAATCACAGAAGCCACAGCCACAGTGCCATTTTTCTCAGACGTTTTGTCCACATTCCCACTAGGTACAGATGGGAAACAAGTGGGGATTTCCACAGCCGAAGGCCAGTCCAGAAGGCCTTGCCATGTTGGCCTGGGTGGGAACTGCTTATCCTGAGGACAGCGTGGAGCTGCCGAAGTCCGCTGTGGCAGGACTCTGCTCTATGACTCCATTCTGCTCCCTTCCAGTGGGGAGGGAGCAGATGAATCCTTTTTTGGTGGGGACAACAGCTGTGTCTGACAGCCTGATCTCCTCAGCCTTCACGGAAGCCGACAGGTCCACCCGGGCAGGAGAGACCTGCAGATGCCCCTGCGCCTCTCTGAGCATCCGTGTCTACAGCTGCAAGCCCGAGCCTACATCCATCTCCCAGGGCAACCCGGGAGGTTAACTGATGGGCAGCAGGCTCCAGTGTGGACCTGAGCCAGTGATCAGCATCTTTGTTGTAGCCTACGGGAGAAGACAGATTCCCCGAGGGAGCCGGGTAACCCAAAGGAGCCAAATATGGCTCCCACGGGGGTCCTCTTCCTAATCCCTGGAACCTGTGAGTGTTCTTTTCATGGCTAAGGTACATAGCAAAGGTGGTTATGCACAGGATATGGAGGAGAGATGATCCGAGAGAGCGGGGCGGGCCCTACAAACAATCTCAGGTGTCCTGATAAGAAAGAGGCAGAGAGGGGGAAACTGCTTCAAAAGAGGAAGGCGGTGATGTGAAGACAGGAGGAGGGAGTAAAGGCAGTGTGACATGAGGCTGGGCTTGTGAGCCACGGCATGCAGGAGGCAGCCCAGAAGCTGTAAAAGTCAAAGAAGCAGAGTTTTCTGAGAAGCCTCTAGAAGGAACCAGCCCTGTCAACACACTGATTTTGGCTTCTAAGACTTAGTCCTGATTTCTGGCTCCCACAACTCTATTAGAATACCTTTTTATTACTTTCTACCTCCAAATTGATGGTAATTTGTCACAGCAGACAGAGAACATGAATACGGTACGAGTCAGATAGGCAGTCTACAGACAGGGTCACTCAGGCCAGTGAGGGACTAGAACATTTCTATGGGGTGTTCAGCTGCAACCTGTGCAGGGAACGTTTTGTGGTAGGCTTGTTGTGCCCAGGATCTGTGCCACGGAACCAGCCACCGCTTCTCAAGCAGAAGCACTGGCCCCTTCCAAGTACGAACTATGTGCCCTCGATGCATCAGGGGCTCTTGGGTACCATCATCCAGGCAATTTTCAAGTGGCACAACTAGCTCCCGACATATGGCCCTGTCATCTTTAGGCTGCCAGAGCTGAGTTTCAGCCACCTCCAGGATCCCTTAGGGGAACAGAGGCAGGAAGTGGCCCCACCACACACTGTGGACTCGCAGCTGCTACAGCAGGTCCTGTCAATGCAGGATCCAGGAACAAGCTTCAGAAAGAACGTGAAAGGTCCCAACATGTCGAACAGGCACAGAATAAAGCTTGAAGAAAAACACTCAAGGGCCAGATCTGGGACAATTTGAATTACAGATTAAATAATGATAGCGATAGCAGAACCCAAGATTAACATGAATATCCATGTATTGAAGAAATACTAAACTAAATGAGTAAAATGCCCATGGGAGAAGGGACAGTTTTTCCTTTTAGTAGAATTACACTCAATTTACTTGGAAAGAATGAAGGAAATAGACGACTGCCATTTGGCAAGCTTGAGTAATTATGGTTTCTGACAAGAACCATCAATGGATGTTTAAGTTAATAGGTAAAATTATGACGAGAAACAGGGTGCTCACATATTCTCCAAGGGCTGCCTAGCCAGGTACGTATTGATTACAAAGGGAACAACCTTAAAGGGAGAATCCCGGCAGACACCACCTCAAACAAGGGAGCAAACTTTGCCTTCTGATACAAGGCCCTAGAAAGCAAACGGCATTCCTGTCTACAGTATTATTCCCTCTAATACATAACTGAAATGCAATTATGAAGCAACTGTAGGCAAATCCGAACCAAGGGGTGTTTGTTATGGCAACTGTTCATGCAGCAACTGACCTATGTTCCTCAGAAGAGCAAGGTCAGAAAAGCCAGAGACATTGAGGACCTGCCCTGGATTAAAGGTGACTAAGGATGGGTAACAATCAAATGCAATCCAGGAGCCTGAGCAAGGGAAAAATGACAGGAGCAAGGAAACAGCCAAGCACCCCTGGATCAGGTGTGTAGGTCCACTCACAGCACTGAGCCAGTCTTCAGTGATAGCAGATGTTAGTATTTTGAAGCACTGAGAAAAGGTATATAAGATTTTTGCAACAGCTTTTGCATGTCTAAATGCATCTCCAAGTAAAACACTTAAAAAGTATTTTTAAAAAGAAAGTACAAGTCCCAGGTTTGCTCCCTCTTAGGGAGGCTGTAAGTTTCCCAAAGCAAGTGTCACTGAGGCAGAGTTGGGACACCTCCGGAGCACAGTGCTTTGACCGCAGCGAGTGCTCAGTGAGTGCGTACTGACTGCATCCCAGCAGCGGGGTTGGCCTTCCACAGGGGCGTGCATGGAGAGAGCTCTCCAGTGCCAGGCATCGACTGTGCGCCTGTGTGTGTCAGCCGCCAGAGATACAGACATCCAAGGGGAGCCCAGAACCTGCGGGCAGACAGGCACTGAAAGCGCATTCTGGGGCCCAGGTGGAGTGGGGGTCTCAGTGTGGGAGCTAGTGTCTTTAGCAGGAGTTGCTCCTGAGTTGAGGCTTAGAGATGGACAAGTGGAGGGGACACTGGGAGGCTGGGGTGCATTACAGAGACAGGGGACAAGGTGGCATGTGCTAGAAGCACAGACAGCAGCTTGGCAGGAGCAGGTGAGGTGGCTGGAGGGTTTCCGAGTAACAGGGATGGCCAGGGGGCACCTTGGGAGCTGCTGGTCTTCACAGAGGCCCCCTCTCAGGTTAGTGTGATGAGCAGAGGGAGGCTGGAGAGATGGCTGACTCTGACAGCACACAGTGGGGCCAGGCTGGAGTCATAACACCAGCCAGGGGCTTAGAGGCCCCAGGTGGGAATGGAAAGAGACTCTAAAGCATCACTTTAAGTTCAAGTCCTTAGATTCAAACTAGAGGCCCCTAGATGGTAAAAAGAGTCTCTGAATTATTATTTTGGAACAGCATATACCTAAGGACACCTTCTTTAACAGATTCTTGGGTCTGGAGGGGATTCGCTTCATAGGCAGGTAGAGACCCTATAATCTCATAAGGATTCCCCCCACCAGCCTAGCACCCAAGAATTGCTAAAGGAAGTGAACCAAGCGCCCCTCTTCAGAGGAAGGGGTTGGCTGGCGGGCACACATCGTGAACTCTCATGCTCCTGGGGGGGGGGGCATCTGCGCTCCCTGCGCACTTGGGACAACACATACCAGGAACTCCAAGCAACACATGGAGGAGGTAGAGTGGCCAGGACTGCTGGCGGGCCTCCCCAGTAACAGGGGAGGGCAAGCACAGGGCAGGACTTACCCATGCGCGCTGTGGACAGAGTGAGGCTCGTAATGGTACCTTCCCTCCTGGTGTCGCATGTCAATTGGCAAGGGTCCATGGAATGGTGGCAAGAGGTGCTGCGGCACTGTAGATGGGAGAAAAAGAAAAACTTCAAAACCTTTCCCCTCCCTCGTAAAGCAATTTTCAAAGGGCTTTAAGCTCGATGAATTTCTGAGCAAGAGTAGCCAGGACAAGGGGCTCCGCAGTGCCTGGGCTATCACACACCCACGAAGGGGAATGAATAAATAATCAAAGTCAGCCCGAGAATCCTACATCTTCCACATAAAAGATCCCCAACCGCGCTCTTGACAAAGACAAGCAGCTAAGCGCGCTTTGAACTCAGGGAGATTACAGGCAGGGCCATGAAACCAGGCTCAGCCCGCAAATCAGGGCCGACAGAGCTGACAGGCTCCCACTCTACTGGCTTCTGCCCACCCCAGCCTTGGCTGCGTGTGGCGCCAGCAGCACCAGGTGACAGCGTCCGAGCAGTATACGCAGTCTGGAGATGCTCACCCGGAGCCATCTGCTAAGGCAGGGCCTGGCCGCCTCCGGGAGGCCAATTCCCACCCCACTGCCCATTCCGTGTTGTGGGCGGCCTCAAGCGGACACCTATGCGCTCTGTTAATTGTACTACTCCTAATATTAATTATCGACCCCGTGCACGCTGGCAGCGCCTCCAGGATTGGAAGCGCCAACACGTGCGTGTCAGTTTCCAGCGCTGAGTCAGCCTCCAGTCTCCACTTGGCCTGCACTCAACAAATCATCGTGATAATTGTAGGATGCGCTTTGCTTATTAAAAAAAAAAATGCCTGGGTACCCTGGAGGCAAACATAATTATAGGCTTTCGAAAACAGGGCTCTTTAAAAAGTAGTTAGACTGGGAAAAGGGCTAAGAAGTGGAGAGTTCTCAATCAACTCTCCCCGGGTCTGAAGGCCACAGGCCAGGGGACACAGTGTCGGGCCTGGATTTCTCAATACTTTAATGTGCCCATTTTTACATTCACCCAGGTTAGCTGATGGTGAGGTTTACTATAAAATAAATGCACTAACATAAAACTGCCTTACTGGGTGAATACATGTGCAATCCCAGCACACAGGAGGCTGAGGCAGGAGAACTGCCATGGACTACATAAGAGTTTAAGGCCAGCTTGAAATACATAGCAATATACTGTCTCAAAACCAAAACTAAATAAATAAAGGGTACCATTCTGTGGAGATTCTAACTCTAGACTGCAAATACTGTGAGTTTTTTTTTTTTTTTTTTGTATCACAATAAAGCATACCAAAATGTAAAATTTACCATTTAAATCTTTTTTTATTTTGCGGGGGGCAGGGAGCAGTACTAGGGCTCAAACCCAAGGCTCTGCACACACAGGAGGTTTTCTACCCCCAGCTCTTTTTAATTTTGAGACAGGATCTTGCTAAGTTGACTAGGCTAGCTTGGAATTTGCAAATCTCCTGTCTCAGCCTCCTAAGTAGCTGGGATTGCAGGTGGAGTCCGATGGTAACGCTTGTCCTCTGGGGTCCGGCTTACTCTCTTAGCTTACATACTGCCCTCCAGGTTCACCCAAGCTGTAGCGCGCGTTACAGTTTCCCTCCTTTGTAAGGCTACGTGCTGTTCCACGGGCTGCATGGATCACACTTCGTTTATCCGCTGCCAACCGACCCTCAGGTTGGACAAGATGACTAAAGGGGAGGAAAGTTTACTCTGAAAACCTTGACTATAATTGTTACATATTTAATTTTATCTTTTTAATTCCACAATTTTGACACTTCTGTAGGGACTAAAAAGAAAGCAAATCTTCCTCTGATGAAATCCGTTTGCCAAACCGAGCCTCAAAGAGGAACGAACAGGCTGGTAGACAGGACGGTCGGCGCTCATGCCACTCTCTGGTTGTGCTTTCCGGAGCGGCCCACAGCTGCACAACCACCTACTGCAATGGTAACCGTGGCTTTTACGCTGTTGCTGAGAAGACACAGTAGTTCATGCAGAGGCAAGGCTCACGGAGGGCCTGTGTGGGCAAGGAGTGCTCCACTCCGAAGTCCCTATCAAACTAGGAACATGCAGCCCTGAGGCAAAGGGATGAGCTGCTGACACTCACAGCGACCTCTAGAGAGGCTGGGAGCCCCACGCTGGGCTGCCTGTGGCTGGAGACTGCCCAGATGGAGACTGCCCACACTGTCCCACATCCCAAGGAGCCTGCAGAAAAAGTGTGCCTCTTTCTAATTGTATAGGAAACAGCCTTTGATCCCAGCGCTGGGATGGAGCAGAGAGTCACATGCATGCTAAGCAAGTGCTCTACCACTGAGCTCTTCAGCAGCCCAGGAAACAAAACATAACTGTGTTCAGGGAGGGCCAGATTACAGTACTGCTCACAAAACATTTTTCACTGTGCAGTGTTTCTGAGTGTTCCCTGCCCTGTGCATGCAGAAGCCTCCTGAAGCAGCCTGGACAGGTGTTACTGGGCCCACTCGACAGATGTACACAGAGGAGGCCAAGGGGGACTCAAGGTCGTGCCAAAGTCACTCACTGATCCAGGAGGAGAATCCAAGGAATACTCTGAGGCAGCCCCATAGTGACAGGGTCCTTCTGTTCCCACCTTGAGTTTATGCCACAGTTTCCAACCACACAGAGCACAGCCTCTCTTGGAGCCCTATAACCCCAGGAGGCTGCAGAGTTCCTGGCCTTCCCAGGCCCAAGCCCCTGCTGTCCCATGTACCCCGCTCCTCTCCAGTGTGGCTCTAACAGAGGATGAGGAGGGGGCCCCTCTGGATCAGAGTACCCAGATCACCTGGGGCCAGCTGGGAGCTCAGGAGTCACTCCACTCAGGAGCTCGGATTCAGGCAAATCTGGATGGTTCTAAAGAGCCTACAACCTGAATGAGGGACTGCTGAGCTGGCCTTGCTGCCCACAGCACTGGTGTGTGTGTGTGTGTGTGTGTGTGTGTGTGTGTATCTGTGTGTGTGTGTGTGTGTGAGTGCTCAGTGTGTGGCAGGGGGATGGCACGTGTACGCATGCACATATGCACAGGTAGCACACAGACAAGTGAGCATGTACGTGTACGGACACGTGTGCTGAGTGTGGCTGCCTGTTGCATGTGCTCTATCACACGGGGGTGCGCACACACAGCATACAGACAAGTGAGCATGCATGTGTATGGGCACACATGCACACATGCTGAGTGTGGCTGCACGTTGCATGTGCACCACCACACAGGGGGTGTGCACACATCCCCATACACAGTAGGCAGGCAAGGCTTCCAAGAAGAGGTGTGCGAGGCAGCCACACACAGGGCGCTGCTGCAGCTGGCCACCTCCCTCTGCTGCGGCAGAACCCTGATGCTCAGGGTGACGTGACTCTACTTGTATAGGAGCAAAGGCCAGGCGACAAGTGGCCCATTTCCTTGCTTCTTCCATGTGATCTCTGGGCTCAGCCAGCACCCTACACACCTCAGGCCTTGGCAAACGGCCCCACAAGCAGGCAGAGCCTACAGTCAGCAGGTAAGGGAAACAGAAAGGGTAAGGGTCAAACCCAGGGACCTAGACCAAGGACCGCAGAGGGAGACTCGCCCACTCATGGGGCAGTGAGGCGCAGAATAGCCACCTCAGGAATCATCCTGAGCTCAGCGACTCACAAATACATGCATGAATTCATCCACCACTGTGCAACAAGAACCTGTCACGTGAGGGGAGATAGCTCAGCAGTCTAAGCGCCTGTCTGGCAAGTGCAAGGACCAGGGTTCAATCCCTGGTACCATATGCTGTGCCAGCCCTGTCCCAGGTGCAGCTTGCCAGCCACTAAGACCAGGTGTGGTGACATATGCCTGTAATCCCAGCTCTGAGGAGGCTGAACAAGAGGATCACAGTGTGAGCTGCATAGTGAGACCATGTACCAAATACATAAACAAATTTTAAAAGATTTTTTTTTCTTTATTTTAAGGAAGGGTCTACAGGGTGTTCAGGGTCTCACTACTAGATTGGACTCGTAGTGATCCGCCTGTTTACAGCCTCCCAAGAGCTGGGATTACAGGTGCGCACCACCATGCCCAGTCTCAATTGCCATCTCACTGTGCCCTGGGGGCTGGGCCAGCACAGCAGGCCCAGGGATCAAACCCCCAACCCCTGTGCCTTTAATCCACTGAACTATTTGGCCAGCCCTAAAAGATTCTTTTTTTAATTAAAAAAAAAGAACCTGCCATATGGAGCTCCAGACTGGCCCTGTCACTAGATGGCCATGGGACTTAGGGAAAATTATGTCTCTGCTCTGGGCCCCCATTAGACCTCCGTACTCCAGGATGTGGACCTTAGGGTCCCTTCCTGACAGCACAGTCCTGCTGTATGTGAGTGCTCACCTATCTCCAGCTAGTGACAACCTGAGGCTCTCCTGAGAACCCCGAGCCAGGCATGGACAAAGGCCCAGAGACAGGTAAGGCCTCATCTTACAGCCTTGGGGCACTTCTGAATCCCACCAATCCCAAGCATAGTCACCTGAGTCACATATACTCTTCTGTCTGTCTGTCTCTGTCTGTCTCTTTCTCTGTCTCAAGAGACTTTTCACTCAAGGTGAAAATCGCTACACCCAGAGGCCCCTGCAGCACCCAAGGAACAAGAAGAAAAACATAAGAACAAGTGGCATATTGAATCAGACCCTTCCACACATTGTTTTCATTGTGGGCTCTTTTATTTTATTTTATTTTTACAAAGAAAAAAAATTCCAAACCAAACCATGTCCTTCCGGCAGAAGGGAAACAAGCACACACACACACACACACACACACACACACACACACACACACACACCCCATATGCCATTTCAAAGAGATGCTCTCTTTTTAAGTTTTGGACGAAGAAAATCTAAGTTGGGAATCGCCCATGGATCCCCCCTCCCCTCTGAGAAACACACATTTGTTTTTGATCCTGCACAGAATGACAGACACCCTGACAGGATGAGGGCAGCATAAGGGCTCTTTTCACAAAACCCCAAAACTTTTTTGTGCAGGTTTAAACACCAAAGGCCCCTTGGCTGGTGGTCCTGGTGTGAGATTGTGAGGCAGGGTCCACGGGGCAGTGGTCTCGCTGGGTGAGG